AAAAATCTACTATTTACTATCTAAAACTATTTAAGGCCTGAATAGCTTTGCTCACAAACACTAGATTATGAAAATTACCTTTCATGCAGTGTGTAACACAGCTCTAAGTGAATGAAAATATCCTGCAAAGTTTTAAATCTGAAAGTGCACCGTGTAAAAGAAAGAGTCGACTCTGAATCGTTGAAACGAGTCGTTTTTAAAATGAATCTGAAGTCGTTTCATGTTTACGTCAACATGAAACATTAGCATATTGGCTGCCCACATGTTAGTCTTTCGCGTTGGTCTGAATGAAAACGCAAATTCATTCTTTGCCACTAGCTGCCGCTTCTGGAGCGGTAAAAATAGCGGTTTCCCCGGTAACGCTGTATAAAAGTAGCACTGCGCTCACAAACGCTGCTTTATCAGGCATTACAGGTGTATGATGAAATGAAAATGAGACCGATCGGACCAATCACCGCAGATTAGCGTCACGCAAAGGAGGGGTTTGGAAAAATGAATCATTGAGCGAATCGTTTGGGAGTCGTTGAGCAAATAAGGTAAAAAAATAAATGCATATTATAAGAAAATGAAAGTTTTTTGACCTTGCATGCATGTCAACCTGTTGTTGGGGACTCCCAAAACCAAAATATGAACCTTTCATTACCCATAATAGGGGCACTTTAAAGTACCTTCTGATCATACTAAAGATTGTCTAAAGATTCTTAAACCAAGATGCATTTACTTAAAAAAAAAAACAGAATTACAAAATAAAAAATCTTGTTTTATGGACAATTGATGAACGAAGTGAGTTTATGATTTAAAAAGAACAAGCATCTGCAAACGGGCTCAGAAAAATCAACCATTCAAAACACTATTACTCTTGTTTTAAGCATAAACTCACTTAAATTTGATAAATTTCTCAAAAAACAATATCGTCATTTTGTATCTAAAGTTAATGTATCTTGGTTTAAGGATGTTTAGAAATTTTCATTTGAAAACAAATATACTGAGGAATTTTGCAATGCATAAAACATTTAATGCCATGACTTTCTGCTCTGATTTAAGACCATTTTTAAGATCTGCAGAAACCCTGTGCTACTGACATACACAACTACATTTTCAGTGCTTTGCCATCACGTGTTGCTACAATTTGACAGTAACAAAACGATCTGCTGAGCTTGATCAGCCGCCCAAAGAAGCTGCCTGAATACTGACAGGAATTTGAAAATGAAAAGATAAATACATTTTAAAAATAAATCAATCAAATGCCGAACTCATATGATTTACTTGCTTGGTACTTAAAAGCAATCATCTGTATTTGAACGTTGTAATTCATTAACATCTGTAGCGAGCTGTTGATAACCACAGGAAATGAAAAGATTTTACAAGCTTCTTGAGCCACAAAAAGATGGCATGCTCTGTCTGTAATTATAAACCAGAAAGATGACTCTTTTGTCAAGTGAGCAGCTCTATTTTTTTGTTTCTAACGAGTCCACGAAGCTAAAAACACATCAAACCTCATATAAAACCACATGCACTGAATTTCCTGTGCTCAGAACTCTTGAATTCATGAACTTCAGCTATATTGTGTTCATTTGGGGGAGAAACTGAGCATGATGAGAAAATAAATTAAAGTGACATCAAACCAATAGGGATGATAACGCCTACAAATAACAGAAGCTTGCTGCATTGACAAAGAAATATGGAGTTGGAGGAACACTGGAGGAATGTTATTATGGACTCATATTTTAGCCAGAAGCAATGGTTTGAAGTTAAAAACATCTTAATGATGGGTTTGTTTCTTACAAACATGCAGCTTTTGTCTTCTCAAGACATTAACTGATGGACTGGAGTGGTGTGGATTATTGTGATGTTTTTATCAGCTGTTTGGACTCTCATTCTGACGGCACCCATTCACTGCAGAGCATCCTTTGCTGAGCAAGTGATGCAATGCTACATTTCTCCAAATCTGATGAAGAAACAAACTCATCTTGGACGGCCTGAGGATGAGCACATTTTCAGAAAATTTTTGGTAGAACTATTCCTGTAAGCTGTAATGTATTTGTCCAGTTTGATTGGCAGTTCTTTAATTAGGTTGGATGATTAATCAAAAATTAATCACATCTGAAGTGTTTATTTAATAAAAAAAAATGTGAAGCTTTTTCATTGAAAAAATCATAGTGGGCTTAATTGGAACATGTACCTTTTACAAGGCCACTCCGGACTTTTAATTAAATAAGGCAATTTATTTGTGTCACTTCCTGACAAAACATCCCATTAGTGTTTATTCTTCACTTTAATACCCACTTTAGTGAAAGACTGTTCAAATATCTATAAGACAACATGTAGAGCTAAGATTCAGATAATCTTAATAGGGTCACTTCCAAAATTAATTAAATGACAAAAAGTGCAAAAAAAAAAAAAAAAAAAAAAAGCCTAATGGATTTCTTCTCTTCGCTCGACTACAAATCACACTGATCCAGATTCCTGTGTCATCAAATAAATCGAAAACAGTATTTCTTTGTTGGAAAGTGCATTTGTCTGCACCTCCCAACTAGGTTAGGACAAAGAATTCAGGAGCTGAGACCAATGAAAATTATGTTTTACTGGAAGAAGAGCAAATCTTTACACATTTAACAATTTGACCTCTTACTGACTGAAAGGTCACACAGGTCAAAGGTCAAGATCTCACCTTGTTGTCACTGATCTGTTTGGTGAGCGGCTCTCGGTTCAGCTGCAGCAGGTTGTGCAGACGCATCTCGTTTTGACCAATCAGAGCCTTCAACTTGTGCCTCTGCTCCTCCCATTGGTCGCTGTGGCCAATCATGCATTCCAGCTGCAGAAGCCGCGCCTCCACGCCGTGCTGTGTGCCGTCCCATTGGCTGCGGACCTTCTCCACTGACACACAGCAGAGAGAGAGGAATGAGTCTCACTATCTCACACAACAGATGCTCCACACACTTCTCCATTAATACACGTCCTCAGTTTACTGTGTGTAAACGTCTGAGGTGTTATACATCAGAACCACCGTTTGGGTTCACTTTTTTTCTTTTATTTATTTTTATATAACAATAGCCAATTTGTCAAAGCCTTCGGTACTTCTTGACCAAAAAACAACAACTTTAAGAACTCGAACTAGACTGAATATATTTAATACATTAAATAATGGATATAACAACTAAAGGGGCAAAAAGTTTCACATTAGATTAGACTAAGATGATGATTAAAAATGATTAAGAATCACTAGAAAGACAAAGGCCCGGTTTCACAGACAGGGCTTAGACTAAACCAGGATTAGGCCATAGTTCAATTAGGACATTTAAGTAATTTTTATTAACATGCCTTAGAAAAACATTACTGGTGTGCATCTTGAGACAAAACAAAGTCACTAATATATTTTAAGATCAGTCAGTGCAAGTTTCTTTCAGTTAAAACAGCTCAGATTTACACTTTAGTCTGGGACTAGGCTTAAGCCTTGTCTGTGAAACAGGGGTTAACATCAATACTAAAAGATTAGGGCTAACGCAAAGACTAAAACCAAGGCAAAGTCAAAGTGACACTGAGACTCAGATTATGATAAAGGCTAAAACTAAGACAACAATTAACAGTAAGATTAAAACAAACACTAAGATTAGGATTTAACATCAAATACTAACATTATAATTAAGACAAAGTCAGACTAAAACTAAGATTATGATTTTAAACTTTAAACATTTGCTTAACAATAACAAGACAAAAACTGAGATTAAGATACAGACTAAGATTAAAAGTAAAACAAATATTACGACTAAGGCAAAGACTAAGACCAACGCAAAGCCAAATTTACACGATATTAAGATAAAGACTAAGACTAAAACTAGGATTAAAATTAAGACAGAACAAGATCATATATGATTAGGAATCACAACAGAAAGACTGAATGTATAATAAAGACTAAGATTAAGATTGACACAACAATTAGGGCTAAGGCAAAAACTAAGACCAAGGCAAAGTAAAACTGACACTGAGACTGAGATTAAGAAAAGGCTAAAACTAAGATCAAGGTTAACATAAAATCATGACTTAATATATGATTCATTATTGAATGTTAAGATTAAAATAAAAACTTTTTAAAGACATGTTATCAAGAATCACAAAAAGACTGAAATTAATATAAAGGCTAAGATTAAGACATAGATATGGATATACCCTGGGGTATATAATTTGGGATCAAGAAGATGTTTTAGATTTTTTTGAAAAAGTATCTTCTGCTAATCAAGGCTGCATTTATTCGAATATAAAAAAAATACAATAAAAACAGTATCAATGTGAAATATTATTACAATTTAAAATAATGGTTTTCTGTTTTAATATACTGTAAAATATAATTTATTTCTGTGACGCAGCACTGAATTTTCAGCATCATTACTCCAGTCTTCAGTGTCACATGATCTTCAGAAATCAGTATAATATTTAAGACATTTTTCTTTGCAAATCCTCAGTTTGTACTTCTAATTCGTGAATGGTGTGTTGTTTTGTTCTCTCTCCGCATTTGTTACTAATCACACAACGCCAACGTGCTGCGTCATCCGCCGGAACTGCTTCAGTGTATGACAATCAGCGGAAGTGAGAGAAAGGTGTTTACTACGTTTGAAATATGGATATTTTTCTTACAAAAACACATGGATCGCTACAGGGGGCCTTTATTCATCCCCCGGAGCCGTCTGCGGCACGTTTTATTATGAATGCGCGCGCTTTATTTGACAACTTGTGGACTGTTCAACTGCAACACCCGCTGAGTGGCATTAAACAGCTTGAAAGATCAAAGACAATTTTTAATATAACTCTGACTGGATTTGTCTGATAGAAGAAAGTCATATACACCTAGGATGCTTCGAGGGTAAGTAAAACACAAGCTAATTTTAATTTTTGGGTGAACTGACCCTTTAACATTAATGTTAAAATTAACACAGATTAGCTCTAAGGCAAAGCCACATTTATACTGACACTAAGACTAACAGATTCAGACGAATACTGAAAGCAGGATTCAGACCAAGGCTGAGCTAAAGACAATTCAGCTGAAGATGACGATGAACATCCGCTCACGTTTCTCAGAGATGGAGGTGCGCACGTCGAGGTTGGAGGTTTTGTTCTTGATGTTTTGCGCCAGAGTGATGATGTCTTCCAGCTGTGGATGTCTCTGCTCTAGATCACCTTTAGTCACCTACAATCACAACACAACACCTTCAAAATGAGCCGGGTTTAGCGGCCCAGACACTGTCTGTAACTGCTCAGGCAGGGGTCTGAATAATAACTCTGTGTGGACAGAAGCACAGCCAGAGATCACAGTTTTTATTGTCAATTTGAGGAAAAAGATACTAGCTCTTTGCCACCCTACTGAGCCAAACATCCTCAAACCGATGACAAACACTCTGTGGTCTGACCTGCAGGCGGCCGATGGTGGTGTGGATCTCCTCTTTGTCTCCCACTGTGACGATGTTGGATTTGAGCATCTGGTGGATGAGGAGCAGCCAGTCCGCCAGCTCTGTGGCCGTCTGGTGCAGGTCGCTGGGGCCCACCAGCTCTGGACTGGGACGTCGCTCCTCGCTCATCAGACTGACCATGTGCACCGCAGACGGCACGCTCCCTGACACACACACACAGACGGTAAACACTCGGGAGGAGCAGCGTGAGAGTCCGCTTCACCTGTCTGTACTGCGCTCACCTGTGAACTGCTGCTGAGAGACTTGTTGTGTCCATGGAGAAAGAGGCTGCTGTGGCGTCTCCTTCAGTCTGGCGTCTAGAGCTTTCCAATCTGCAGCCAGCTGTTCGATTTTACTCTACAAACACACACACGCCATCTTAATTCTCATCCACCTCTCTATTCATCTGTACTGTGCAAACAAAACCACAACAAGAATTGAGCAAGTGCTGTGTAACCATTTGTACACTTCCAGTATATTAAAATAGTTCACTGTAGATGGGAAAGTACACGCTTTTCAGTGTGTGCTGAGACAATCTAGTCAAACCAACATGTATTCAGACACTTGCGACATCTCTCACTTTAACAGTTTATTCGCTATAGTTTAGAAAATGGTAATAAAATATGACAAGAACTCAGAGTTAAACTGTGTCAGAACAAATTCATCTTGATAATGCCATCCTTCTGTCTCACAAATGAATTCGGTTGCAATTAGATAATACCAATTTAGGTCAACGAATTACCAAGCAATGCTTAATTTTGCTCAGTCTGTGGTGTAAAAAGGTCGCATTAGCAATTAAAGAAAAACACTTAAGCAAAACATGCTCAGGTCAAAGTGTCTGAATAATTTTTGGTCCCAAATTTGTATCAATTTTACTGGTAGTCCACTGTATGAA